TTTAGCCATTCCTGGAACTCAGTGACCTTTTGTCAGCTTCCTGGGAGTCACACTGGTGAGTCACACAGGTGACACTGGGAGTCAGTCTACTGCTGTAACGCCATCATTCCTCCTGGCTCGTTGTTCATGTTGGACTACAGACGGCCGTGTGCTGACTGAGGAGGACGCTGACTTCCCATTTTATCCTCTTCTATTTGTAGCCGCTGCCACGCCCTCCACATCCACCTCCATAAAGTTCAACAAGTGTCCTGCAGGTTGACAGTCAGCGCAGCTCCTGGTCACAGAGGGTCAAGTCCGGCTGGTAAAAAAGAAGAAGTAGAAGGAGGAGTAGAAGCAGAAGAAGAAGAAGGCAGCTGTGTTAAAGATGCTCTGCGCCTTCTCCCTCTGAATTTGCAAAGTGCCAGCAAGGAGAGGCCGACTCGACAAGTTTTCCCGAAGCCTGCAAACAGTTTCACTTTGACGGCTGAGGGCTCCGCGGAGCTGCTTTGAAGGATGGCTGGATGCTGCGTTTCGGCGGAGGACAAAGAGAACCAGAGGATCAACGAGGAGATCGAGAAGCAGCTGCGGAGAGACAAGAAGGATTCCCGCCGGGAGCTGAAGCTGCTGCTGCTGGGTGAGCATCCCTGAGTTAATACAGGCCTCCTCACAGGAAAGCTAGATAAAATATGAGGATGTGCGCCTGATCTAGTGATCGTTTTTGCGCATTTCTGGCATAAAAAAGTCCTTAAAACAATTTGTCAAAGCTCTTAAAAGTGTGAAGTCGTTTCGCTTTCGGGGGGAATCGGTGATCTGATCAGGAACTTTTAATTTGCCATTACTTCACTGGCTCCTGACCACACCTGGACGCGCAGGTGTCCGGGCAGGTTAGACACACGTCTGCCTGTCGACTAAGCTAAAAGATGTAATAATATAAGAGGAATAAACTAATTAAAATATGTATTTCTGCAGAGGGCTTTCGAGGAACAGCCCAGGGTGCGCGCCATAGTTGTGCCATTGATTTTGCGCACAGTGGGTGGTTGAAATCCTTCATCAGTTTGCCTGCAGAGAGAAACTAGGCGTTAAAGAATATAATCATAGATTCTCCAAGTCTAAACTTACTGATTTCCTGAGGATTTTGTTGTTGTTGTTGCTTTGCTTCAGGACAAACTGTGAGCACAACTTTTTAGATGACAGAAAAAATGAATGGGGACAGATCATCAGTGTGCATGTGTCCATTACTGGCCTTCAGATGAAGCTGTCAGTGTGTTTTATTAGTGGCACAGTCCTGCTTCATGGTGATGTTTAAGTAGTGAGCAACATGTGTGTGTGTTTTCCAGAGAAACATTCATTATTCACCTGTTCTGTCCACACTGACTGAGCGGTTTGGTAAAGTTCACTGACTTCCCAAAGCACACAAGAATCTGTATTCCGTGTTAACTTGTCCACTTGTGGGAGTGCTTCAGGGACCTGAGTCGGCCCCCGGACGCCTCGGCCAGCGGTGTGTTTGAAAGCCATATAGCTGCTGCGGGCGCGCTTCATGCAAAAGTCATGCAAATCCACCACGCAGCAGGGTATGGCGCAAAAAGTTTGCACCCGCTGTTCTACTAGAGAGCGCTTTCACTTAAAACAGAACGTTGCACCGCCGCCCACAGCGGCTAAACCAGCATTTGTTAAAAATCCCGTTGAATTTGCTTATGAAAATGTCTGGGCTCACTGTAAGGCAGGTGACCACCATGGATGGATGGATTCAATCTGAAAAACACTGAGTTTGAAGGCGTGACTTTCAAAGAAACTGTGATCAGAAAGGCTGATTTTGACAGAGCAACTTGAATTGAAGTGCAGACATAAGCTCAGTGTGTTATGAAGCCTGTGTTCTTTGCAGGTAACTCAGTAATATAAGCAACAGGATGACAAAGCTGATAAGCAGAGATACAGATAGATGCTGAGTAATCTTTGTTTGTTTATGTGGTCAGAGTGGATTTCATCATCATGGTCTCCCTCAGGTGTGCAGAGAGCATAAGTGGAAAAAAGAGATGAACACACTCCAGCTCTTCTCAGTGACGTTTGACCTGATGAACGGCTGCAGGATGATCAAATCCTGTCAGCATGGCTCCTCACTGTTTCTTATATCAGTGTCAGTCGTTCAGTTTGACTGCAAAGCTCAAGATAATGTGGGACAAACAGGAACACAAGAATAGAGTGAGCGAGGAAAGTGTGTAGAGCACAACAGAAAGCAGGATTCAAGCAGTTTTCAAACATCTTTATGGAACTTTTGATCAATGTTGTATCGATATTAAATATTAAAGTAAAACTCGTGAGCACAACACACACAAAGGGAATAGGGCTGCTTGTGAAGAGTGAAACAAGTTTTAGT